CAAAAATATCATTTACAGTCACTTGCATGATTTCGAATGAGTTTCTTCTTCCTTCAAAACTACCAATCTTCACAAACAAGTAAGGGATGTATGCAAAGAGATGTCGAGTCGAGCGAAACGATCTATTCATGGTAGTCTTAACTTTTCTTTCATATACGTCGAGTTACGTTTCTACAAAAAACGAGCTATTATGACATTTTGCCTTCTCTCGCCTGACTTTGTTCCTTCGCTTGCTATCAATAAATAGGAAAGTTTACGAACCAATAGGAAACAATAATACAGAGAGAATCTATGCGTTGAATTCATTGCCGTCGATCCAGTGTTTCGCTCCTTTCTGTAGGTACGAATCTTGTTGTAGCATAGTTATGCTTGTTGCATTTTTGATTTTGAAAATATGAAAGAAAGCATGGATCAATGTCCATCAAAACTACTGAAAAGAACTTGTGCACAAAGTAAAACGTTTCTGTGTTTGGTTTGTTTGAATATTAAGTTTTGCATTTGAATTTCTACAATAAAGATCGTTGTTCCACATTTAACAGTCTATCAGGCGGACTGATTCTCAGTGTTTTCGAATATTTCAATAAGAAAGAGGTTTTCTAATCTCACTCCACTCATTACATCATGTATCTTTGATAAACGTCAGCAACTTCATCTGCATCTTGATCTTCAAATGTTTTTTCTTCCAATAAACTATCTTCCCACTCAAATCATCTCACTGCGTATCAAAAATATCACTATTCCAATTGGCATGTTCTCCAATTTTAAATCATTTTGGATTGTTCATGGCTATGAATAGGAAGAAGAATGCCTCCATATAGACAAACAGGTTAGATAATATATCAATAAATAGTAGTAAAGTTATAAGAATCAAATTAAAAAATTTGAACTGAATAATATAAAGCTCGTTTACACACACACATAATGTTGTATTAGATACAGCAGAGCTATAATCCGTCCAAACCGGTCGATTTTTGCCAGCTGAAAAGGATGTGGGTGTGGGTGTGGGGTGTGGGTGGGTGCGGGTGTAGGTGTAGATGTGGCTGGATGTGGCTGTGGCTGTGGGTGTGAGTGTAGATTATGAAAAGCAAAACATTCACACCCATATCCACACACCCACGCCCCACACCCACCCCAAACCCATACCCACACCTACACACCCGCCCACATCCACACCCCACACCCCACACCAACACACTCACACCCCACACCCAGACTCTATAATCACCTAAAATCTGACTTAAAATCAAGTTGGAATCAAGTTGAAATTATGTTGAAACCAAGGTGGAGTCAAATTGAAATCATGTTGGAATTATGTTGAAATCAAGTTGGAATCAAGTTGGAATTATGTTGAACTGAAGTTGATTTCAACTTGATTCCAAGTTGATTTCAAGTTGATTTCAAGTTGATTTCAAGTTGATTCCAACTTGATTTCAACATGATTCCAACTTGATTTCAACATGATTTCAACTTGATTCCAACTTGACTTCAAGTCAGATGTCAGGTGATTATAACTGAATTTGTAATTCATCGAAACGAAGTTTGATAATACCATGGTCGAAAATTTTTCATAAAATTTGTCGAATTCGACAAATTTGGATTCCAATTTTGTCGAATCGACAAATTTTTTTTCAACAAATTTTGTCGACAAATTTGCAATCGACATTTTTTGTATTCGATAAAATTGATGTTTTCCAAATAAATATTTTATATTTTTCAACTAACATAATTTTTCATTGATTCGACGTTTTTTTTCATTCTATCTTTTTTCTTTCGATTTATTTTCATTCGACGTTTTCAATACATACGAAATTTTTAATAGAAGCAAACCATGTTTTTCACGTGCCAAATCTTGAATCGAATTTTTTCCAACTTCAGATGCAATATGAACTGTTTATTTGGTATCGGTAGTTGATAAATAATCGATTTTCATTCAAAAGTATATAATCAATATTTATGAAAAATGTTTTCAAAGATTCATATATTTCAATGTGTAACGCCTGAGTTTTCGTTAGCATGTTCTCACATGTCGGTCTGCATTGTTATATTGATCATTAAATAATAAATATTTCAAAGAAAGTCATGAAATTAATTAAAATATATGTTCAACATAAATTCATCTATTAAAATAGCTGAATAGAAGAGAGATTTGTAACTCTCCTGTTGAATAAGCTGTATGAAATTCGAATTGATGTTAACATCAAGAGCTGCTATTATGCTAGACTTGTCTCGGCTGGAGTACTCGAAAATTCGATAGCTCTCAAGATATCTAAAACTTCTCAAGGAGTCGGTCATGTCTTTTCGACAGAGCTATTTTCAAATGCTGGAAATGGCAACAGAACGAACAATAAATATATATTTCACATTTTCGAAGACTCGTCGTACACGTTACGTGTGTTTTTATGTACGGTTGTATAGTCTCTCTTTCACACATACAATAGAAGTCGACAACACATCAACGCTTCTTTCGAATGGCCCACTAAAGCGCATATATTATGCAGAATCGTTTTTACCCAGTTCTTTTTTTCTAGTTATGTTATTGTTGACGATGTCTATGCAAACACGGCGAGTTATTTCTTATTATTGCGCGACTTTTTTTTCTTTTGCTTGACAACAATATTCCCTTGAATGAAAACTTTGATTTTAATACATTTTTCTTTCCTTTACTTTTTCTCTGTCTTGTTTGTTGCTTATGTAGATTCATTTCTATTTTGCTATTAATAATTTCAGTACTTGATCTTGACATAAAAGCAACAAGTATGGCGATCAATGAAGACGATAAAAAAGCACAAAAAGGCTTAAAAACTGTTATTGATCTTGTTCAAAAAACATTCCAAGAACTCAAACAACAGCCAACATCGCCTGTAGATGTTCTTGGAGACAATGTAGCATCGGGTATCAACTTCAATACATTTTCGTGTAGTACTGTAGATGATAAAACCATGGAAACCCTAACTGTGCAAATTGGAAATTTATTCAATGAATTTCTGGTGACGTTATCCGAAGATTTTCGTGGATATATATTCAATTTACTATGTGAATATCAATATGATAAAAATGAAAAAAAAATCAAAGAAAATCTTACTATCGGTAATCTACCTAAGTTTCTCAATGATCTTGAGGCTATTCGAGATTCAATCGATGCTTTTAAAGCTGCATGGGATGGAAAATTAAACCATGTAAAAGAATTTCTGACTAAATATCCAACATATAAGGATAAGCCTGGTCCATGGGGTACAACATTACTTTATTCGGCAGCTAAAAACGGCCATATAGAGCTTGTCAAGTATCTTATTGCCGATACTGGATGCTGTGTTAATGCTCAAAACCAGCAACATATTGAGAGAGCTTTATCATTTGAAACTATAACAGCTGATGATTATAAAGTGATTCCTAAAGCGGGTTCGACTGCTTTACATGGGGCATGTTTCGAAGGGCATTTAGATGTTGTCGTATATTTAGTTGAGCATGGTGCTAATTATTTTATCAGAAATCAAGCAGAAGAAACACCATTGGAGAATATAGAAACTCGTAGACATATTACAGAGTACTTTCAAACTTTTATCAATCCTGGATATTCCATAAAACGAAAAAGTCTACCCAAAGCGCCTATTGTTCAAGGAAGCACTCAACCAGGAGAAGATTGCATTTGGGAATATAAACCATTGTTTGATAATGAATGGCTTGCTTTCGATGTCAATGAATCCAAACAATTAAGTAGATCACTAGTAATAAAGCCGGGCGAAAATTTTCAACACGAAGTTCATTTGAGTGTTGATGCAGCAGATTATAGTGTTTCAACTATTCGATTTCTACGCTGTCATCAAAGCGTGGGTCAGCATGAAAATTTAGCATGGGCTCGATGTCGTGGTTCATCGATATTGAATTTCGATTGCTATGCTTTATGGCAAATACTTTTCGTGAAACATCCAGAAGCACAATCCAATAATGCCATGTCCCTTGATGTTTTTGATCTGCCGACGATGGATGATATGGAATTTCGAATTCAACTGAATGTTTGGTATAACTGTGATGCAACAACC